GGCACTCTTAAGTGGTATTTGAACCTGTGTCCTTCATATTTATGAGTGTGATAGTATATTGTAGCCATGTCACACTCTACATTGGGCGCGTAACTGAGCCCTGCGTGTAAATGTTCCTTTGTAAGAAATACAATTTAGAATGATTTTTCTTGTTAATGAAATCATTTAAAGGGTCATGAAAGATCATTGCAGTTATGTATGCAGCTAAAGCTAGTGAATTAATTGAAAACAAGTTCTGAAAAATAAAGTGGTTTTCAACTGAGTGTCACAAGTAATCAGGCAATTACTTTGGTTTGGTCTTACTACATTTTGAGACTGGCTGAGTAGTCATAATATTGGTAAGTAACTGGTTTGGTTTTGGTCTTACAGAACTCTGTTGAAAACCACTCTAATTCGAGCTCAAATGGGATTCAAACACATGTTTGCTGTGATACCAGTGCAGTGTTGTATGAACTAAGCTCTCAAGGCAACTGATTGGCTTGAGAATTCATGGTCACGTTTTGAATTTATTATCTATCTATGTGTAGATGGCATTATGAGCATAGGCAAGTGAATCTACAAAATATAACATAATTTACATGTACATGTACTTGAACTGTGTGGTCAAGATTTAAAGACAATTAGAGAGATTGGTGTTATGTACCCAATGTATCCAAGAAGTGGTTTGAAAAGGGTACAGCTGATCTGATTACCCCAATGGGAATCAGTATCCATACAAACTTAAATTTAACCCGAAAAGAATACATTTTAAGTACTTTGTCTAGTAGGTGACTTCAGAAATCTGAGGAATTGTTGTTACTAAAAAATATTCCCTTGTTGAATGGAATAAAATGTCATGAAATCTAACCAAAATAGAACTAGCATTTTCTTTCTCTTACAACTCTTTAAAATTACTGCTATTGTGATTGTTTCAGGCTTGATCTTGTATTGAAGAAAGCTTGCCAAAATGATGTTAAGACCATCTGCAATGCTCCCAGCCTGGATGATCAAGACTCGTACCTCAGCAGCCTCATTATATCATGTCTTTATAGGCATGCTGTCCTTGAAACCCAAGCAAGGGTGAGATAAGTTTTAATAATTGCTACATTTTCTAGCCCCTGCAGGTTCAATCAAAATATTACTTATCCCTAAAATTACCACACATTGAACGTTTGAGAATTTGGAAGTACAGTATAATCATCAATACCAATAATATTACATTGGAACCCTGTTACTACAGTCACCAGCGGGCCATGAAAA